ACCTTGAAGTGTAAACTTGTTTAATAAACCATATCTTTCATTTTCGATTTTTAATTCACGTAGTCCGGGAACTTTCCGGACAAACTGTGTATCTTTTCAGTAAGGCTGGTCAATGTGATTGTAGTCTCCCGGTTGATTGTAATGCTCGAGACATCTACGATACAGCTGCACCTCAGGATCTTCCTTCAAATGTTCAGGCAATTGGTTCCACAAAAGCTCCACTAACTTGTTGAACACTTCTAGAAAAATCCTCTTTGGAATGTTTTTCAACTCTTCGATCGACAAGTGTAAAATGCACGTCGTGTCCACTCCGTTAAACATTTCAAAAAAACGACGACAACGACTTATTATCTATACGGCTAGCGATCTCGATTGCTCGCGATCAAAATGACTTGTGACTTGCTCCCGAACTCGAGGCGCCTTTTTATTTTGCTCCTTATCTTTTCTCCAAATCTTTAGATTTGAAACTGCAACGCAAAAACCGTTACGTACCGGATGTGAATTTTTTTGCGCATGTCTATTTTAAAAAACTAAATTACGCGCGCACTGGAAGTGCGTAAAAACAAAACCATATCCGATACGTAACGGTTTTTTATGCAAATGTTATCGCAAGAACTGACTCATCAAACCGAAAGTGACTCGTTGCTTCGGTGATAAGAAAAGAAGCACTTTCGGAAAATTTTGGTTTTCCTTGGAATTAAGTATTTTACTGCGCAGTTACAAACCGCTTCCGGGAAATTGCGATTTTTCTCAGAATTATTTATTTTAATGCGCAGTTACAAACCGCTTCCAATAAATTGTGGTTTTTCTCGGAATTACTTATTTTACTGCGCAATTTAAATATGTAATGGAAAGTTAATATTATTTTAGCGATGACGTCATCATCTGAACAACCTTAAACACGCGCGGACTTGTTTGAGTTTTATTTTTAGCAATGACGTCACCATCCACCTTGAACACGCTCGAACACGTCCGCACCCGCTCCGAACGACCTTGAACACGTACGAACAAGTTCGAACACGTTATGACCGATAACGTCATCAATAATGCTCACTTACCTGAAATAAATAATACACGTCGAATAACGCATGCTCCATTTTTACGGCTTGTCGCTAATTTGGTAGTTCCGGGAGAGCTCATAACAACGCCCCGTCGACGCCACTCACACTCCTACGTTATCTCATCCGCAACGCCCAAGCCCTCAGAGGGTGATACTCTATTGACCACAGTACGATTCGACACCGCTCGATTCGACACAGATTTATTCGACACCAAATTATTCGACACCGTACGATT